AGAACCTCTGCCAGCTCCCCCTCCAACTGCAGTACTACTCGGTGTAGCATTACTAGATCTTGAAATACTCCTTCTCGATGGAGGCCTCGTAATTTCTTGCGTACCGATCGATAATCTAGATTCGATGCTATTCGAAAGATCGGTTGAACCGGAATAATCTGTCCTGTTCATCCCTCTCGGTACCGACTGGACTCGCCCGACGTTGTTCAGACTTTCTTGACTCTTGCGGTAAACGGTAATTTTGAGAGGTGGATCGGATGTTTGGTGATTCGATTGGCCGTGAATATCGGTATAGGACCGGTAGATTTTTATTGGAACGTCGCAATCTGGATTGTGGTACTCCGCTTTATATTCTGAATTGTTTTGAAGCGAGTCATCTCCACAGGTTATAAAAATGAATGAAAAATTTAATTTGCAACTCTGAATAAATTAAGAAAAAAAATTAAAACTTACCCTTCAGACCACCACTCCACCCTTCTCCGCCCCACACGTCATTATATTTTTTCCATCTTCCACCAATGTCAGCCGATGAAAGTAGGTCATTTTCTTTAAGTAGGTCAGGGCATGAACTTAATTTGCCCCTCCGTCTGCGAAATGTTGAACGTTTTTGTGAAGGAGGTTGTTGTTGTTGTTGTTGCTGCTGCTGTTGATGATGTTGTTGTTGCTGTGGTTGGTAATAACTTTGGACCTGCAGGGACTGCCTCTGATGTTGTTGTCTGAAGTCGTAACGATCTTGTTGGTGTTGTTGTTGATGCGGCTGGCACTGCCTCAACAATACTCCGTCTAATTTGTTGCCCATTTGTCGGAGGTTGTGACGGAAGAAGGATGTTGTTGTGACATTGCTGTTGCTTCTGGCCTTTAATACTAGCAGATGGTTAATGTGAAATTGGAAACACGAGAACGTTCAGCGGACGACGTCCACATCCTTCCATCCGTGCATTCAACAGAAATGGGGCTCTGTACAGTTTCTATTTTTTATTCATTCGTCGGAAGAAAGAGATAGTAAAGAAAGAGAGAGGAAGAAAAGAAAGATAGAGAAAGAAAGAGAGAGAAAATTATGACTCTAAGCTAAGTGACACGGTAGAAAATTGATTATTTCAGCTGCTGAAGAAGAAAAAATTAATGACAACATTAAATATGAGGATGATGACGATGAAGATGGTGAAGAAAATGATGTTGATGATGATGTCATTCTTGTCGTTGCTGCTGCTGCTGATGATGAGGAATAAGATGATGATGATAAATAAGATGATGAGGAATAAGATGATGATGATAAATAAGATGATGATGAATAAGATGATGATGATAAATAAGATGATGATGAATAAGATGATGATGAGCACCGTGAATGAGATGCTTATAACAACGGTGAAGAGAATCTAATGTAATCATCAGATGTAATGAACAAATTTTATCAAAAGTCATTCACTAACGTTAATTTAACGTAATTACATTACACTTTTAACGAGAATTATTCGTTAGTAAATCATTATTACCATTACTACGACCTATTGTTGACCGTATTATTATTAAATAATAAACTAATTAACCTTTTGAGAGACAAATGATAAGCCAACTGTTAGGAAGAAACTTACCTGGAACTTGTGCTACGTATTAATGTACTAAACACAGAGTGCAATGTACGTTAATATATATATACTTTTTATGCATTAATGAGAATTAATGTAAATATATGCTGTAACATTGACGTACGTGCTATTAGAAATAAAATATTGCCTTATGTTGTGATTAATAAAACTTCTTACGAATCCGACACCTAGAGATATACATTGGAGGCAATTATAAACAAGACGATTATGATTATGTAGACGATGAAGGAAGTTATGATGATGATGATAGCAGTTGTTAAGATTATGATGATGACGAATGTGGTTATGATGCTGATGATGATGGAAGAACAAGTGTTTGTGATGGTAACAAGCCACTTATGTTTGGTTGTGTGCACAAATTTGTACTCATACAAGCGCTTAGCGTATACATATTTATGCGCATTAAAAATGCATTGGGTAGAGCAGTCAAATGTGTTCAACGCATGCATACAAAGTACAACGCTGTACGTACACACATTCGCAAAAAGGTGTACGCTCATGTAAGTGCACATGTGTGTACGTTTCTGATACATGTATGCAATATGTATGTATGTATATATACATTGTACGTGTTTGTGGGCGTGTGCAGTGCATATGCGTACTATCTCCGACCATCGGAGCAATTTTAGTCATTGCTGCATCATTGCACTGGCTTTATATATATATAAATATATATACATACATGCATATACATATATAGTGAGTCATGTTATCTGTACACATATGAATATATGCAGAGATTGGCTGGATTTGATGATGCAAAAAGATACATAATTTAAGTGCAAGTTGTTGTGTTGTTGTACGCCCTGTTGTTTGTGTTGTTGTTTTGACAATTGTTCTTATGTTGTTTTGTTCTATTACGAGTTTCTATAGAGCTTCACATATTTTCATCGATGGTGTTGTCTGATGGACCGAAATAAGTTACAACGTTACTTCTATGTTGCTGAAGAGTGTCTGAAATTTTATAACGCAAATATTGTTTAAGAGTTAACTCGTTCATATGAATTGCAACTTTAATTTAATATATGAACGCGTCCATCGTCTTGGCAACGTCGTATAAGAATATTCGTGAAAAGTGAAGCTAAATAATGAAATTGACATTATTTAGTTACATTTTTCTCATTTATAAAAAAAACGATAAAAATTAACAATATTACAAAATAAAATTCAAAGAAGTCGCAAATATTCAACTATTTTTACATTTAAAAATTCTTTTTCAAGATTTTTAATTTTAAAATTTAATTTAAAGAAGATTGTGATCACGATCAAGCCATGCTTACTACTGCTTTACATTCTTGTTGGAGTTGAATGATTGTCATCTCTGAACCAAATAAATGTCTTGCGTCATCTTACAAATCGGTCAGTGCGGAAATCAGGTCGGCCAACAATTCTGGTCGCTAGTCGATAATTCACTAATCCGTCACGGATATTCGACAGATGACGCCGACAACTGCTTCACATTAACAAACCCATCAAACAACCAACGCTATTATCGATCAATCAACATAGATACAGAAAACAAGGTAATAAACAGTTTATTTGCCAACAACAACAAATTTTTGAAATTCAACTTTAGGCCTTGTAACGTGATAACAGAGAAATGTGGGAGAGGAAACAACTGGGCAATGGGATACTATCAAGGAAGGCTATCCCACAGGGATGACATATTTGAGAGGACTATGCAGGAAATGAGGAAGGAGGTCGAAAGAGGTGAAACATTCAAGGGATGTGCAATTTTTCACAGCGTAAGTGGAGGAACTGGGTCCGGTGTCAGTTCGAGATTAGTAGAATTGATTAGGGATGAATATGCGAAAGAATGTTTAATTTCATTTGCTGTTACACCATTCGAAAATGGAGACACACCTTTACAAGATTACAATTCCTTATTGGCTCTTTCTAAAATACATTTTCATTCCGATGCCGTTGTCCTGATATCAATGATCAGGTGATGGCAAGATATGAATCGGAACAAAAATCGAAAAAAAAATATCTCTACAGTAATAATAAACCAGCATCTGCTACCACTTCAACTTTTAATGACTTGAATAAAATGATTGCTGAATGCATTGCTGGCTTAACTTTCCCAATAAATGATTATGAAAACAATTATTTAAACGAAATCATGTTAGAAAAAATTGCAAAGACATTCAACACAGACTATGCCAACAAATTTGTGAGTTGTAACTCCACATCACAGCAATTCAAAAATTGGGGAGATGGTGTGGAAACACTGTTAAACCAGCTTGAAACATTCAATAAAAATGAAAATGCAACTCAAGAAAATTTCAAATTAAAACAATTACTAATGATCGGCAGAGGAAATTTACAACTGAACAAAGAGCCACTTACAAAGTCGTTCATAAACAAGATTCTAACAAATTATTTTCAGAGCAGAAGGAGCACAATGCCAATCTCACTTCTGCAATCAGAAGGCTCATCAACTTCACTAACAATGGCCTTTCAAAGCAACATAAGCAAAATATATTTAGAGAAAATATTTAAAAACTCCTTAGAAAAGTTTGCAGTCGGTGCATACGTACATTGGTATGAAAGGTATGAAGCCACAGTTGAGGATTTTCATAGTGCATTTAAATATATCCAGAATCTGCTCAGCTATATGTGAGAGTGGATCTATCTAATTCACTTCTATTATAATTGATTTTTTAGAATTAAAATCTTCCTCGATTGTCATACTAGCAAATTAATTTTATTTTCAGGTTATATATACTTACAAAAAATGATTTAATGTTTGACAATCAATAAAAAATATTAATTTATATTTCAATAATAACTGCAATAACAACAAAAAGTAATAGCAATAATAACTTTAGTATCTATTTTTCTCTTGTTTAGATGATACAAGTGGATATATTTTTGGCCTTTCAACGCGCCCTTCAATGGGAATCTTTTTCACAAAACTTTCTTTGGCTTCATTCATTTCTTTTATGTACCTAACTGCAGTTTCCTGATTAGTGTATTTAAATTGTTTATTACAAATAAAATATATGAAGTATATTATATACAAATATATGTACATGTTAAATTTTTAAAATCATTTTTGAGCAGTATGTGTACCTGTAAAAACTTACACATATAAATAAGAACATACACACAAACATGCATATATATATATATATATATATATATATATATATATATATATATAAATAAATTTATATTTAGAAAGCTTAAATAATTTTTTTCACTTACATAACTGTAAATGTAGTAGGTGTGATCATTAATAATTAATATTATATATTTATAAATGACATTAATTATATAATTACAAACCAAATTTTTATTGAGATCTGAGAGTGAAAATAAAATTAATAATTATAATGAGTTAAAAATTCAGCACTAACCGCCAGGGCTTTATTTCTCAATCGTCGTTTCTGCTCATTTTCTGCAATGGGGGCTGGTCGGCCATCTTAAAAGTTAATAAAATGATAAAATCATCTAAAATTGCGAAAAAAACAGTAACAATTTATAAAATTATAGAAACTGTTCATAAATAATATTAATTTAAAAAATTCGCGAAACGGCCAACCGGCATAAGACCAGTCCGGAACTTCAACTAAAGGACCGTACTCATTTCCACATTTTCCTAGCCCGTGCCTATAAAAAGCGTTTGTTAAGTAAGAATTGCAATAAAAATTATGGTTGATAATAATTACTTTAATCGCCATTTAGATCCGGCATATTTAAAAGCAGACGTTGAAATGGACCGGTAGAAATATTTGATCATTTTAAAGAACGGGCGATAATTGAGCTAGGCAGTAACAGCCATCCATAGTAAAAAAAAATATTTCCAACCCAACGAAATGAAGCACCTCACGAAGTCAAATTTAGACAACTTCCACTACAACTTCCGTTCATAATTCCGTGATAAGACCTCCAGGTAAAATTACGTAATAGACAAAATAACAGTTATTTGCAAGAAAACATTATGTGAGAAATTAGGTAAATAACTCTTAAATTCATTGACTTGAAAAATAAACTTGAAACAAATATAAATAGACGTAATAAACACAGTAGCAAAAATTAAAATGGTTCTAAATGAATATCATCTCCATCTTTGAAAGGTTCAAAATGTGACTGAACAAATTCATCTGACACCTCATCCAATGTTTTTGGATTCCAAACCGGCTTCATGTCTTTATCAATGATGACTGAATAATTATGTAATTTCAATTATAAATATAAAAATTTCTAGAAATTTATAATGAGCATACATATATTCACACTATTAAAACCACATTTCAGTAATACCTCATTAAAAAACTAATCATAAAAATATCCCAACCAACCCCATTTTATAACTAATCATTAACTAAAAATCCACATATTTCAACTTTCCTAATTTCGATCTCACCCCCAGACAAAAGAAAAACTAACCAGATCTAACACCTTCATAAAAGTCAGAACCCTGCATGATTCTCTGTACAATTCTGTACTCCATGACAAGTACATCCCTTAAATCTTTTGTACTTCCGTGTCTCAGCTGTTCACAGGTCACTTTTAAAGAAGTCGGCGACTTTGGGGAGAAAAAAAATTGTTATTCATAATTATTATTTCATTATTTATAATTATAACTTAATTATAACTCATTTGTAGTTGAATAACATAGCAATAATAATTAATAACAATAATGATGACAGTATAATAATAATAATGATGATGATGAAAACAATGATTATCATACCAATAACCATAACAACCATTTTATTTAAAGTCTGCAGTTGAGTATTACACCAGTCCGACGAGTCATTCTTCAACTTTTGAACAATCCCACTGATGTCGTAATCAGAGAAAGCATGTTTAATAAGGCCTAGGTGCTCGGCCAAGATGTATGGCTTGTCTTTTTCTATGGAACACTTGAAGTTATTTCATGAAGAATATTATATAGTTCAATGGTTACATGCAACAAGAATTCCCATGCTGTGTGTGAGCATGTGTGTTTGTGTGTGTGTGTAAGCGTGTGTGTCCGTATGTTAATTTTTTTGCATACCCTATCGTGATAATAATTGAGAACTTCTTTTGTGTTCAACAGGTTGGCATCTTTCACATTCAACAGGTCTCTCTCCAAATCTTTTATCTATGGCCATAACACAAATAGTAAACGTTCATTTAAATATTATTATCAAAGATATTAAATTGCGTTTTCATTTAACGCACACTTATTTCATTCTCTTTCTAATTCTCTCTCTCTCCCTCTCTCTCTCCCTCCTCTCTTTCTCTCATATATAATTTTCCTCCTTGACATAAACATTACTATAAGTGTTACCATTATATTATGAAATAAATTATGTACTATAATGAAAATTATTGGTAAAAAATACACCTTAGCATGTTCAACAAAATGCGTAGCAATGCCAGCTGTGAACACGTTCCTACCTTTCAATCTGAATCCAGTTAGTGCGAGAAATGTTCCAATGTGATTAGGCAGCCGGGGGAGGAAGTAACCCCCACCCACGTCCGGAATCAAGCCTAAAGTAAATTTTAAAATGTGGGGTGTCTTGTATAGTTTTACCTATTTTCTTTTCATTTTATAAAAGAAATTATAAGAAGATACAACCTAACTAAGTTATTGATTTGCGTGTGCTAGTTGAATAAAAACGCTGTCAAGTAAAAAATGTTTTATCAAAATTCGTTTAAACTTATTCATCCAAGCTATCAACCAGCCAATCAAATTCAATGGAATAACCAATTGAACAATCTACTAGCCAATCAAATAATCAGTTGACAAACCAACCAACCAATCAGAAAACGGACCTATAGCAGTCTCAGGCATGGCAAATAGCGTTCTTTCTGTGGCAACTCTGAAGTGGCCATGAACGGACACACCAACGCCCTTTTGTGTTAATCATGTGTGACGTCATCGTCATCATCATCATCATCACTATCATCATCAACACTATCATCATTATCATTATCGTTAATATTATTGTCATCTTAAAAATCATCATCTTCAACAAACAAATAATTAGAACAAAGAATGCCAGAATTAATTAAAACACAGCCTGGAATTTAGATTTACACATCTATTTCTTCTTTCTTTCTCGCACTCTCTCTCTCGCTCTCTTTTTTTCTCTATCTCTCTCTCACACTCTTAAATTTTTTTCCTTAAAAATTAAAACTCACAGTAAAAAAGCAGAGAGTCAAACAAATAAAAACAAGCCAACAAGCAAATATACAAACACATATAGATGCACACAGACAGACAAACAGATAGACACACTAACAGACAGACAGAAAAACACACAGACAGACAGACAGACCCCTCCCATAGTGATTCCATCGATTAAGGCCACCCAGGGTATTTTTGAAGTTCCAATCCCATAGTTGAGTTTGTATTCCTCCTTGAAAAAATCCTGTTGTATGTTATTCTGTACAGATTTCGCACCTGATACAGCTTTCAAAGTTTTTTCTCATAACTAACATTTTTTAATAACAATTTTATATTTTTTCTATCATAATTTTATCATTATGATTCATAATACTTTTATTATGAGACCATAATTTGTTCAGTTCAATGTACTAACAGATGAATAATTTATTGTTTTAAAGATATTATTAATGTTTTATATAGAATTATTTTCAATTTAAAAAGTTATGTATCTTATTCTTTCAAGAAAAACTAAATAAAGTTAAAAGTTGAAAAAAAATGAAGAGATAGATGGCAGGTTGAACAAAGAATCTTACCTCTAATGTCCCCACCGGCACAAAATGCCTTCTCCCCAGACCCTTTTATAATTATCATCTTCACATTTTTCTCTTCATGCCATTTCTACAAGAAACCAAAAAAAAATAATTTCTTCTCACAATATGTTTTATTTTTACAAAATTTGCTTGTAAAATTAACTTTTTAAAAATTTCAATCAATCAATCTTCACTTAGCGTCCAGAGACCCAGCTCCCCCGAGGTAGGACGTTGTTTCTTTGCCATCAATTTTTTTGTGCCAAATTAGACAATCAGTTGTATCAATAAATCTATATGACTGTATATATAACACTATATAATAATATATAATCCTATACAACTCTATATAACTATATATAGATATATATATATATATTATATATATACATATTAACAACCGTATATAACACTATATAACTATATATAATAATCAATAACTCTACATAACTATATATAAATCTATATAACCGTATTATTAATATTATTATTAATGAATTAATATTAAATAATATAAGCAAAGAAAAAAAAAAAAAAAAATAGTTACAAATTGAAAATGAAAAAATGTCAATATGGTAAAAATTTTTAATTAGGGATTCATTGTAAAGTATTTTATGTGTATTTAATTACAGTAATAAATAATATAAAATAAAACAAATAAATGAGCAAATAATAAAAAAAACACAAACTTTTTGTGCATGAAAAAGTCAAAAACCTTCAAGAGGGGGTTAATCTTTTTGATCATGGACAAATCCAATGCATTCAAAGCTTTGGGCCTATTTAATGTAAGGACGAATTTGTCGCCAACCTGATCAAATAAAACATCTTCGCCAGAGGTGTGGGGAGAAAACATCTGCAAGATATGAGGGGTCCATCATTAGAAAATAAAATTTAGCATGGACCATAAAAAAAAAGTGAAAAATTTTAAAGATCACTTAAAAAAGTGTACCCGTTTTTGCGCTTGTAAAACAATAACTGGTCTTCTGAAGTATTGCCTGGTCGATCTGCTCATTGATTAATTAGTTTTTGATCATTAAATTTTAAAAATGTTACATGAATTGATGAATACTTTCTATTTCTTTAATTTCTAAGTAAGCTACTTCTACTCTAAATTAAATGGCGCTTATTTTTGGTTATATTTAATGAAAAAGAAAATGACATCGTTTAAATTTAAAAAAACATTGTTGGAAAATATTTCAATAATTGAAATTCAGACCTTTGCAAAGTCAGAATTAGCATTTTGTTACTTTAAATCAGAAATTTAAGCGAAATACTAATCAATACGCATCGAAAACTAATACATCTTCGTTACTCGATTAAATATGGAAAACCAACAATATATAAATATAATTTAATTAAAAGTTCGTAATTTTTATGAACCATACATAAAACCATATAATTAGAATAAGAAAATTAGTACAGAAACAAAAACGAAAGAATAAATGACAATATAAAAATTTAAACATTGATTGAAAAAGTTTATTCTAATTATATGGTATGGGCAATTCGTTGCGAAATCGTTGGAGGAAATGGTGTCAACAGTAGTTATTTTACTGCATGATAGTTAATCAGCCGGTATGAAAGTTATATTCAATTCCTATCAAATAAATTTGACAAAATATCATACACAGATATAAATAAAGAACTAAATAAAGAAATAGATAGATATATACACGTAGTTATAATACATTTATAATGTTGTATTTACACATTCAAATTGTACAATTGTGTTATGACGTAGTCTCAAATTTATTGTGAATTCTCTCAGAAAATTTTAAAAATTTTATCAATAATTAAAAAAAAATTTCAAATTGATTTCATTGCGATATCGATAATGATTTTTGTGACCTGACTGATTAAAAAGCATCAACGAAAGTTAAAATAGGATGGAGAATTTGTTATATTGGGATATTCGTTTAAAAAGCGAGCAAAATTTTAATATAAAAGCGCTTATAAATCTATGCATATTGGCTCAGCTTGGCTTGGCTCGGCTTGGAATCGGATGTTAAACAAGGTGTGGTCTCAAACTATTTTGAATTCTCCCCGAAAAATTTGAACTGCGTGCGTACATATATAGTAATGGCTACTGTTGTTTTTTATAATGAATTTATAAAATGTATAAATATAGCGAGCAAAATATTAACATAAAAGCGCTTATAAATCTATGCATATTGGCTCAGCTTGGCTTGGCTCGGCTTGGAATCGGATGTTAAGCAAGGTGTGGTCTCAAACTATTTTGAATTCTCCCCGAAAAATTTGAACTGCGTGCATATATAGCACTGATTACTGCTGCTTTTATAATGAATTTTTATTATATATATATATAAAGTGATTGGAATCCATGTATACAAATAATTAAATTATATTATATTAGATTATATGTTTATATGAAAAGCAATATAGCATATTCAACCAGCCAACCAGAAAGTTTCGAAGGCGTTCGTTCGATGACTTCAATTTAGTACGGTTAGCATTGTGGTTAAGACTGTATAGTAGTGCAGTATATACATTAAACAAGTTTTTACTGATGCGAATGATTGAAATGATGAGAATGTATGGTTGAAACGAGTATAAATAGAGGAGCTGAGACAACATGAAATCAGATCAGCATTCTGCCTCGCATGAAGCAGTCTGTCTGATCTCATTTATTTTATTTTTAAAATTTTTTTATTTTTATTTATTTTATTATATAGAGTTATATAGAGTTATATAGAGTTTGCATGTTTGTAGGTGGTTTGAATGTTTGTAGGTGGTATTTTTTTAATTTTAGGTGGGTTCTTTAACGGTTGCTCATACATACATACATACATCATGTTTGTTTGTGTGGTAGAATTTTATGTTCTGTTTTACTCCTTTTTCTCTTTCTTCATGAGTCTTGAGTTAAGTTAATGAAGCATAGGTAGGTGAGGTAAAAATTAATTTATTATATAGGTAGGCTAGGGCATAAGGTAATTTAGTTACATAGGTAGGTTAGGGACTCCTATTTTTTTACTCTACCTGGTGGTGTGATTTTTGTTTTGTGTTTTTTTTTTGTTTGTTTCACATCATACATTCAGCAGGTACGCGGTGGTTCCTGGTTTTAGTGGGATTTTTATTGATTGAATGTGGTAGTATGCATGGTTATATAGAGTTATATAGAGTTATATAGAGTTATATAGAGTTATATAGAGTTATATAGAGTTATATAGAGTTATATAGAGTTATATAGAGTTATATAGAGTTATATAGAGTTATATAGAGTTATATAGAGTTATATAGAGTTATATAGAGTTATATAGAGTTATATAGAGTTATATAGAGTTATATAGAGTTATATAGAGTTATATAGAGTTATATAGAGTTATATAGAGTTATATAGAGTTATATAGAGTTATATAGAGTTATATAGAGTTATATAGAGTTATATAGAGTTATATAGAGTTATATAGAGTTATATAGAGTTATATAGAGTTATATAGAGTTATATAGAGTTATATAGAGTTATATAGAGTTATATAGAGTTATATAGAGTTATATAGAGTTATATAGAGTTATATAGAGTTATATAGAGTTATATAGAGTTATATAGAGTTATATAGAGTTATATAGAGTTATATAGAGCATAAATCCTATATAGATACCTTTCTTTGCTCCTCTTTTCTCTTTTCTTTGCGGTTATTTTCATTTAAATTGAATAAATAAGATTTAGGTTAGGTTTTTCAGGTTCATTTATCCAGGTTGAAGCTTCCAGAGGAGTTCATCGTGGACGATCAGAATGGTTGTGATGTCACGCTACGTTCGTTCATTCGGTGGCAAAGAATGCACGCTCTGCTGGGATACGTTTTACGGTTTCTTTGCGGTTTTTGTTTGCCAGTTGACTGGCTTTTCCGGCGGGTTTCGCCGCGGCTCGTTTTTCTATTTTCATTTAAATTAGTCAAATAAATAAGATTTTTCCATTTCATCCATTTTATTCAGGTTGAAGCTTCCAAAGGAATTCATCGTGGAAGATGTCAGGCTACGTTCGTTCATTCAGTGGCAAAGAAGATACGTCTGGCTGGGATACGTTTTATTCTTTTTTCTCTGTTTTTCTCTGTAATTTAACATTAAGTAAGAATGCTCACACGCACACGCACATACACACAATTACATTAAGTAGCTATATAGGTAGGTTAGATAGGAATAATTTTAATTGTAGGTAGGATAGATAGGAAGCATCCAACACTAATGTAGTTGAATAGGTAGGCAGCGTAAGTTTATCGCTTCTATTTTTTCTCGCACCCACGTTACACGCATCAGCGTATTATACACACACACACACAAATACATACTTAAACACATATTAGTATTTGAGCGTTATTTTATTTTCAATGCACATTCTAATTTATTATTACTAAGGTTGAGAGTAATTTAATTTCATAGGTAGTTAAAAGCAATAATTTAATTCTAGGAACAATCTTGTAATTTAAATTAAATAAACGCTGTAAGTGTATCGAGAGGTAAGTTAGTTATTAAGTTTTACATTATTATTATTAGGTTGGAGCCCAAGGCATTACGTAGGTGGTGGGGTGGGTGCCGAAAGGCCAATGAATTGGGCTCTTGAGTTTTGTAATTTTAGGTAAGCTAGGGCCATAATGTAATGAATAGGTAAGTTAAGGCTACGTTGTAACACACACTCATTAATAGATTTAGGGTTTAAGTTTTATATTATTACTAAGTTGGAGCCCAAGGCATTACGTAGGTGGTGGGGTGGGTGCCGATTGGCAAATGAATTGGGCTCTTTAGTTTTTTTGCAATTTTAGGTAAGCTAGGGCTCAATTGTAATTAATAGGTAAGTTGAGGGTACGATAGCCGATAGACTCTGAATTTTGAAGTCTGTTGTCAGAGGTAAGCCTTGGTGGCCAGTGGTGAACCGGCAATGGTTTACTATCCGGACGGCAATGGTTTACTATCTGCACGGTAATGATTTATCATGCGGCACGGCCATAGTCTACTACCCGCACGGCTTCCGGACGGCAAATGGTTTACTATCCGCACGACAATAGTCTACTATCCGCACGGCAATGGTTTTCTATCCAGTGCCCTGGCTGTCGGTGAACCTCTGTGCAAGGAGGAAGAATGAAGGGGGACTTTCGACTATCGTACCATTAACAATTTAATATAGATTAGTTAAGGTAATTGAATAGGTAGATAGGATTATTTTTATTAAGCAATTTGAGATGCAGGCACCGCTAAGCTTTCTGATGAGAATCTACTCTTTCTCTATCTTTCTCCATCAACACGGGCTGTGTTTCAACAACAATCTCGAGGAGGATTGGCACCAGTTTTGGAGGACAACGTAGGAACCGGACCGCATTCAACATTCTGCTTTTGTCGAATGGACGACGGTAAGTTTTTTTTACATTTTACTTGCTTTATTATTTTAAAATTTTATTTATTTGACATTATTTTCATTTTATAATTTAATTTTTTTTGCTTCTAAGATTCTAACATTCATTTACTACTACGCAAATAAAAACATTTTGTTTACAGAATGATGTGAGGTGGGCAGTGGTGGGAGTCAGCACGTTTTAGATGGTGGTCTCATGATGATTTACATATGATGATGGTGGTGTAGGAAGAATCAGCTCGTTGGCTGTTCGACTGACACTCTGAAGTTCGGATGGTATTTTGTGTGCCGACCAGATGGTGGTGGTCGGTGCAATGTAAAGTACAGTAACGACGATTTTTGAAGTAAGGTTTAGTTTCGTTTTTTATTTTTCTCATTCGTTCATTTTATCACTCAACCTTTTAAATTATTCTTCTATTAATTGATTCGTTAATTCATTCTATTCATTAATTGAATCATTGATTTATTAATTAATTCATTCATTCACTCATTCGTTCAACCAATTATTCAATTATTCAGTTAATCATTTATTCGACCTAGATTTACTAATACGCTATTAAAAAAATGTTTACAGAATGATGAGAGGTGGGCTGTGGTGGGCATCAGCACGTTTCAGATGGAGGTTTCATGATGATCGTTCCGATGACAATTCGAAGATAACAACAACGACGGTTTTTGAAGTATGATTTAGTTTCTTTTTTTTATTTTTCTCATTCATTGATTCATTCATTTTATCACTATTTTTCAAATTATTCCTCAGTTAATTTATTCATTGATTCATTCTATTCATTCATTAAATCATTGGTTGATTAATTAATTAGTTAATTTATTCATTCAACCAATCGTTCAATCATTCAGTTAATCATTTATTCATTCGTTCCTTTGTTTCTTGATTTACTACTTCGCTAATTAATAAAAACTTGTCTACAGAATGATGAGAGGTGGGCTGTGGTGGGCGTCAGCACGTTTCAGAAGGTGGTCTCATGATGATCGTTCCGATGACAAATCGAAGATAACGTTAAAGGTAAATTTGTTTTTGTCTCATTGTACCTTTGAAAGTACTCGAATTTGAACAAAGATTGAATGTTATCTCAAAAAGATAAGTTGCCTATTTTTTCCAATTGCTTGTTTTTTATTTTAGTGAATTAACTTTTTTTCAATTTATTTTTCAGTATCCGGTCAAATTCATTCCATCGATGCGTGTCAGATGATGGTCGGTGCAATGGAGGTTCGTCGGTAGTGAGTGAAGTTTCTGGAGAGTGCGCGCCCGTACATTTACATACACACACACATCAAGACAACACATACATACACAACATCCATTCATTCGGTGTCGTTGTTGCTATGTTTCTCTTCAACTTTATATTTTCTTTACCGTGAACCGGACTTTAATTTAATTCATAGGTAAGTTAGGGACTGAGATGAGTTAAACAACTGTAGGTAGGCTAAGGCTTAACATTAGTTAAAAAGCTTCAAGTAAAATAAAAACGCTAAAATATGTTAAATAAAATACTTGAAACATCTAAAACGAGAAATACAAATTTGTAGGTAAGTGAGTTGAGTCAATGTTTATAAGTAAGCTAGGGCCCTGAGAGTAATTTTATTATAGGTAGGTGACTGACTTATTCTTGCGACTTCTTACTAGTTTTGTGTGATGTGTTTGTTTTCGCTTCACAACACCACATCAACAAAACAAACTACATTTCATTCTCGTCGTCGCCTTAAATTGTACCTTTCTGAACAATCTTTTTAATAATGTCTATTTATTTATTCATTAAATGTTGACTGGTTTCTAGTTTTTTTTTTAAATTGGTTATATAATTTTTGGATATTTCTTGATTTACTTTGTATATATGCATATATAAATTATTTCTGTTTATGTTGATTTAGTCATTATGATATGTTGTGAACTGTTCTTACTAAATGTTCATGTTACGTGGTTTATTATCCTTCGAGAACTTCTGAGGAGTGTGTATGATAATAATAATAATGGATAATAATTATTTTTATCGGTCGATATTTTGTTATATTTGTTTATTTAAAATAGGAATTTAAAAAAAAAATTGACATTTTAAAATTTTAATTAACCGTCACTTTTCATTTTTGAATGAATTCAAATAAAAGCAACTACTGTGTTTTTCTTTCTTTACTAAAATCTCGAAATTGTTTGTAGATCTGTACGGTTAACTGTTTGTTCGAGTTTGAACAGGCCTTGCAAATTTTTTTTATTTATTTTTGTTTATTTGGTTCATTCAATTTAGTTGATTGATTGATCGGTTGATTGATCGGTTGGTTGATTGATTGACAGACAGACTGACTGACTGACTGACTGGCTGGCTGGCTGTCTGACTGACTGACCGACCGACCGACTGACTGATTGTTTGATTGATTTATCTCATAGTATTGTATACATGAGACAAAATCCGATTGAGCCAACCTACGGCTTCAGTAAGCCACTGTTTTTCACCTGACAAAAGCAATTTCTATATTTATACTGACAAAAATAATTGTGATATGAATATATTGATTTATTTAAAGCATTATATGTACAAAAAAGTGGTGCTATCGTAAGAGTTCTATGAAACCCTGTAAGCCACTGCTGTAAACCAACGTATGATTGCAGCAGCCAGTTTCTTATGAGCACCAGCAGAACGTAAAATATTCATTGAATATAATGAAGATAGTTGTTCAAATAGTAATTTTGATTTATTTAGGCCGTTTATTTCATAAGCAAACCAATTTTTAACATGATCGAATAGTGTAAAAAAAGGGTGACTATAGTTCAATCCTAGTAAGCCAACCTTCGGCTTCAGTAAGCCACCGGATTTCACCGGACCAAAAGCAATTTTTATATTCAAATTAACAAAAATAATTTAATCATTATTAAAATTAAATAGAATTACTACAATGTTTTAAGCATATTAAATCAAGTAAATATTTCATTTAGCTTGCTCGTTAAAATCCATGCAATTTCGTAAGCCAACAATCCAAGCACGACAAATAGCCCGACCGATAGATCGAATTGATCGATTAGTCCTATTATTCTAGCTATGTGGTTTGGAGCAAGGGGAGACATTACTGAAAATAATTAAAAGTTGAAAAAATTCAGGTTCTTTGCATATCCCTGCTTCAACCCATAAGAAGGTGTTGTATGCTGGTAAATAGGCCTCCCCTTGCATAAAACAGTATTATAAGTGTATGCGGCACGCAGCCAATAACGACTAAGACGCCATAGAGGTAGAAACAAACTAATAAGACATAAATCATAAACCATCACATCAAATCAGTACAATAAGTTTTATGTATTTTAAATTCATCTGAATTATCAAAAGTTTCTCCACAATTTGAGCACTGAAGCGGCTTTAAGTCGTTAGGTAAATTTCTCACTTTCAGAACGTTTGAACTGCTTTTCCTGTCATTATTTTAAGAAATGATTTTATTTCATAAAAATAACAGCAATTTTATAAAATGTCAGTTAAATCATCATTTTTAATAATCGTTTCTTTATAAAAAAAAAATCTTAAAGTAACCTTTTCTTGAATTCTTCTTTATGGCTCAAATTTTCTGGATTAAAATTATCGTTAAAAATGAATTAATATGCTAATCCATGGCTAATACAGAATATAAATTTTAAAGAATTTTATGAAAGTGATGATGTGTGTTTCAAATAAGTTGTAACAAGTAAATAACTAACGCCGCGGTGATAGAAATTCACTTCTCGGTGATCGGCCACTCCCAATGTTTGCCCCATTTAATGACAAGTTTTGTAAGTATTTCTTCAAAAATTGACAAATTAACGCGATTTAAATAAATCAGCATTGTGCAAGAATTATTGTAAATAAATTTGTTTAAAAATCAACCTCTTTTTCAACTAATTTGGCTCTCAAAGCAGATAATATCTCGTTATTTTGTACGTTTTTCTCTTCAGATCTCTTCAAACGAACGACCAGATCTTCATTTTTCGTATTAAATTCATCCAAACGTTGAATCAACTTGTCATATTTCTGCTGCAGATTCTAAACAGATTCGATTGATAATAGCGATATAAAGACAGAATAATATAAACTTTATATATTGAGAAAAGTCCATAGGTACATGTAGGTGAAGAGAAGAAAGAAAAAGAGAGAAAGATCGAGAGATTGAAAAAGTAAAACGAAATTATTACACCGATAATCCATCGTTGAAGAGCTGATGTTTCAATCTCTCCTTTGCAATTTCTTCATCTGCCTTCTTCAAATCCGCAGTAGCAGCAGCTAAATGTTCATTCAACTTTTTCAAATTTGTTTGAAACTCTTCTGATAACTTCATTTTTCTCGCCTCGTTTTCTTTCAATTCTTTTTGTAAACCGTTAACTTCACTACCTTTGAAATCGAAAAGTTTAAACTAAAGCACATAGCTTGGCTTATACAATCTTGCAAATGTTATAATGATTTGATCGTCCTCACCTAATTTATGTATGAAACTTTCTTTTAACGTCAACTCTTTCTTTAATTCTTCTATTTCTCTTTTCCATCTATCTAATAATCCCTTCAATTCTTTCTCTTTGGCTAGCATCTGATCCGATTTCTCAGTTTCCAATTTCTAAAATTAATTTTAAAACAGAACAAAAAGATAATATTTAAAATAAATTTTTGCTCATAATAATAACAACTTTACTTAATTTACATATTTCAATGGAATATATAGGCCTACCAATGAAACAACGCAATAAAATAATATGGAGCACACTAGATCTGAAGCCACGTGTGGGGGTGTGGGTAACCACAACCGCAACCGAAAACATCAGGTAGGATATTTTTTAAACCCCGTGGATGTTGCGATTGACGAATTTTGAGGGCCGATGCGGATTTAGAGTATGGCGGCGGCGCGTGTAAACGTAGCTGACGCCCTAGTGCAAACGTACCTTCTTATCGGATTCAAGACTTTTAATCTTTTCATTGAACGTTTCGCCATTAATGTCCAACTGCTTCTTCAATTTATTTATCAAATTCTCTTTATTCTGTAAATTATTCTCGTGCAGTTTCGCGGCGTTTGTTAACTTTTGTTTGTCATTCATTAGATTCTGAAATGATTGTTGAATGTTTTTTAAGATATCTCTGTGCTTCTCGATGCTGGAATCTATATCTTTCTCTGAAAAAATCATCAAAATCCGGGTCATGTATTAACTAACAAATATCCTTTTATTATTCTTTAAGAAATCAGAATCCAACAGACGCATAAACTGTTACAACATGCAAGATAATATTATAAAATGATGAAAAAATAACGAAGTAAGAAGGTGTATAAGCATGGAAAAACTGATTTCGAAATTTATTCATTTTTTTTGTAACGAAAGCGTCTAAATTTATCAAATTTGCTTGAAAAAGAATTTCAAAATACCTGAAATCCAAATACTATGCGTATCAATAGCATTTGTCCTGTTAACATTATTGTTAGTCTCCTTGATCAGTGAAGACAATGACGATAGAGCTAGTTGGAAAACTTTGCACGAAGAACAGGCGATCGCAAATGTCGTTTCTGTCGTTTGCGAAGCTGCCAGAAACATAGGTTCAAAGGTCAAAATCATTATTAATTAAGTCACTTTAATTAATTGTGCTGCCATTGTAAGGCTTGTATCATTCATTACCTAATAACTCGTAAGTGAATTACATTACCAATTCATTAACCTTGGTTGGTAGTTTCTTTTTGGACGTTATTAAACGGATTAGGAAAAATTTGTCTGATGTCATTTGAAGTGTTCTTTGCAGACTTTAGTGTAACAAATATATCCATTATAAAATTACAAATTAATATTGGAATTTGATATGAAAATACAGAACAACCAGAGACAATTATTGACCACATTTACAATCTAATAGAAACAAGAGACAATTATTGAACACATTCCTATCTAATATAGAAACAATCTGCAAATTGATTCTAACATGATCTTGTGCTAATAGAAACAACTTTGTGAGACCATTCCAGCATTTTTTGACGACGAGGCCAATAGATTTAATGTTATTAGCGGAGTTTGGTGTTGTAGTTGATGACTTTTTGAGGTGTTTTTGGATGGAATCTAAAAAGGTACACAGTACTAGAAATAATCTGGATATGTTTGTTTTTAACGCAAAAATTAACAAACTAAATATAAGAAAAGCTCCATCAAAATGAAATAATTTTTGTACCTATCGATTAAAAGTTCAAAAAGCATGATATGTGATGTTTGATTGTCTTCCTGGTTCTTACTAAATGAATAATGTTTCACTAATTCCTCAATATTTACGGAACAGGCCAATTTGTCAGGAAATTTCCAAGAGGTGTAATTCAAAGTCCCAATTTTTGAAACTATTTCACTAATTATGGTCTGGACGTCCTGAATGTCATAAGTTAAGCTGTCTATGCAGTTTCTGGAACCCAATAATAAAGCCATTATCTTAAAATTTGGTGTAAAATAAACAAAATTATTTAACAAATTATAGTTTATAAGCGTTGCTATGGAATCGAAGTTAGGTGCTTAGACGAGTGGAAAATATAGTGTGTGAAAATATATATTTTACTGAATAAATTAATGGAAATAATTTTTAACTTTAAAAATTATGCTTTTTTTAAATTTTAAAAAATTTATTCAAAAAACTTTTTAACATTTTGTAACTGTCAAATTTGAGCACTTTAGTAAAATAGTTTTAGCGTTCCGAAACATAAAACAGCTCTTGTTGAATTCACTTTTAATTTATAAATAAACATTAAAATATTTTAATTAAAATTTTTAAACAATACTTACAATTATGATCTGCGTTAGGAAGTTCCGGATGACGCGATTTTTCATTTTAACGTACTTTATATTAACATTTCTATTCTTTATATATTTAATTTTTATAAAAGGTTCGCCCTTTTTAGATGCCTTTTTAAGTATTTCTTAGCATTTGAGTTGTAGTAGCTTAGCTTTGCAGCTTAGTTAGAAGAGATTGATTAGATTGCCTGTCATTTAGTTAGTTAGATTTACTAGTAAAAAATGTTATTTTTATAAAAATGCAATCATGAAAATGAACTGAAAATAAAATATGTATTTTTTATTTGCCAGACTTTTCAACTAGTCACCATCAAGAAACAGAATACAATCATCATGAATTCAAAACTTCACCCAAACATTCGCTAGTCAGTCATTTCACCAATCCCAAATTATTGTCATCAGAAGAATGTGACAATAAGAATCTACCCACGATATACATTATAACTCCCACGTATTCAAGGTTGGTTCAAAAAGCTGAACTAACAAGACTTACTTACACTTTGAAATTAGTTCAATGTATTCATTGGATTGTTGTTGAAGATTCCACAATAAAGACCCAGTTAGTGAAGCGTTTATTAGCAAAAAGTAACCTCAAATACACCCATTTGAATGTGTTGACGCCGCCGGAATATAAATTAGGGATTAGTGAAAAAAGATGGAGGAAGCCCCGAGGTGTTCTGCAAAGGAATGAAGGATTGAGATGGTTGAGATCAAATAAAAAGTTAATATTGAGTGGCTCTGAAGGTGGTGTTGTATATTTTGCTGATGATGACAACACATATGATGTGCAGTTGTTCGATGAGGTTTGTTGTTAACATTCATTCATTTGTTTGGATTTGTGAGTTTAAATTTCAACTGAAGCTTATTTGTTTGCTAATCGATTAGGGTGGGGTTTGTGTTGCTTATACTTAACAAGCTTCTTTTACAAGGTTTTTAAACTAAGTGTGAATATAATCTATTTGGTTTGGTTTGAATATTTGGTAGAAAATAATTTCATTCTCAAGATGAGGTCGACCAAGAAAGTATCCGTCTGGCCGGTCGGTTTTGTCGGTAAATTGCGATACGAATCACCGATTGTTGGGGATGGGCGTGTCGTCGACTGGTTCACATACTCGAAAAGTAATCGAACTTTCGCGACGGACATGGCTGGATTCGCCGTGAATGCCGACTTGATGATCAACTCGAAAGTGGAATTCAGCGTTAAAAGCAGCAGAGGCATGCAGGAGAATGACTTCCTAGTCAAACTGAAAATAACTTTGAACGATTTGGAACCGAAAGCTGACCTATGTACTAAGGTATTTGTGGTAGTTGTGTATGCATGTGCGTGTATATGAGCGTCTAATATGTACTATCCGTCCGTCTGCCTATACGTTTAAATATAGATCGTAAATGATATGCATCTTTTAATTGTTTGAATGTTTGCTAGGGTAAGTATAAACTTTTTATCTGTCGGTTCGTTTGTCGGTTCGTTTGTCTGTATGCGTGCATTTGTTTGAAAAATTAATAGCATTTTTCAATATTATATTTCAAATTGAAGAGCTTATTATTATCGTCGTGTGCAAGTGCACCAATGCATGGCATGCGTGTATCTGCAATAATTTCTTATATATCAACCACAGAATTTTCAATGTAAAAATAAATTGAACTGATTGACACACGAAATTAACAGCACAAACAACACAAACAAATAATTAAATGAACAAACAAACAAACAAACAAACGATTAGTTGTTAAAAAATGAATTATTATCAATGAATCAGCACTTGAAAACATACAAACAAACTTGACACAAACATATGTACGCATACACGCACACACACATAATACATACACACACATACTTACACGCACATACATACAGGTTTTAGTTTGGCACACACAAACAATGGAACCGAACGTGAAGAATGAAGAGCTACTGATGAAGTTTGGCAAAAGTGGGTCGAATTTGAACATTGAAATCTGATATCATCGTCATCGTCATTATTTCAATTATTAATATTCCTATTGCAGTAATAATTAATTTATGTTAGAAATTTATTTCTTTATGAATTTGCTAGAAAAAAAATCTCTCGAACGAAGTTTAAATAATAAAAAAAGTGACGAAAACGAATCGAATGAGAGATCATTAAAGTTATTATTAAAAAATAAATGAGTGAATGGATGAACGAACGAATGAAAGAATGAGTGAGCGAATGAATAAAATACAATACAATAGACAAATAAATAATCTAAAAAAGCCAAGAAGCATATTACATATTATAATACTGGACGTTTTCGTAGACTGTGGCTTTGGAGTCGGTCATATCGAGTATGTTGTTAATATTCGAGTCGGTCAAATCGTCGGATATCCGGATCGGGTGGGATAGAGATGAGCTTGAAATCGGTACATCCCTGTTTTCTCTGATGCTGTTGTTGTTGGCAGTTGTGACGCAGTTCATTGGCAGAATTTTTATTGGCGGTGTTAAGGTGGTTAATGCTTTTTGAAATGTCGTTGTTGTTGTTGTTGTTGTTGTTGTCGTTGGTAGTGGTGATGTTGGACTGATGTGCCCGCTATAGTTCTGAATTGAAATGAAATTTACGTTCACTAATTAACCGATGTTATTAATTATTTTAACACAGGGTTGTTAACAGTATTCAAATATGTGCCCTGTCACCGATACCAATATGGGTTGGTTTTAAAATCTATCTAATATATAGCGGACAGCAACACTGTCACTCACTTTTTAAAATATTACCGGTAAGACCGCCACCTACTTTCGTTTCATTCGAACGTTTTTGCACGAGAGCGGGGCTATTATTTCATCCATAAAAATGCATTCGGGGGTTAATATAGAGCTTGAGAATGATTGCGTAGCGATGAATTGTTCGGGCAGAAGGAACATCTTTCGTATCTGCTGCTGATACTTCCATATTAACAATCCTCTTTAGATATAATTTGAAATGTCAATAGCGTTAAAGTTTTTTGGTCACATCATGTGCAAGGAAAGAATGGAAAATCTAACTAATACTGGAAAGATTGCAGGGAAAAGAGATTGCAGTCAACAGGGAATAACATACGTGAAGTCCTTGTGTCACTTGTTGAATATCACTACATTTCAACTCTTATAAAGTGTTAAAGATCAGGTTTTGTGGAGGTCGACGGTCGCCAATGTCCTGGAAGGATGAGGCGCGAGAAAGAAAAGAAGAAGACAATAGCCTCAAATATAACAAATGAATAGCTTTGATGGAGTAACAAATCGACCATTCAAGTTTATATAGCGCGCGATTTTCAACACTTGACTTGTACAAAGTGCGAGTTTACGCACGTAAGAAACAACGCATACAACATATCTTGCATTCAAAACAGGGTACCATGCAACAGTTTCATACACAAGCAACACGGCGATGCTAATCTCTGGGCTAACTGAACTCGTTAGTGAATGGCTGAATCACATTCTTAATTGATATAATTTTGTAAAATGAAATGATTACTTCGAGATAATTTCGGTGCAAGAGCGGAGTGACGGTGATGGTAGATGTTCCAAAATTTCTCGTTATCGACAGTTTGGTGCATCCCTCGTTGAACAATAACTCAGCCGGGGACTGGCTAATATTTTTAGTAACAGATGAACTATTGATCTGATTGGCTGTTGGAACGTTAATTATGACATCTGCGGAATGTTTTGATTGGCTGAATTTTGTATCCATACACACCGGGGGTCCAGGGATGTGCGGGGAAGATATATCGATCGATACATTGCCGAATCTCGGATATTTTGTTCTATCGTGTTTGAACGGTGAAAGTTTATTACTTGAGTCGTTGTTGGTATTGTTGTTGTCGTCGTCATTGTTGTTGTTGCGGGTGATCTCTAGGAATGGACTGTCGCCCTCGTCTTGGTCGTCGTTAGTGAAGCTGTTGTTGTTGTGGTTGTTGAAATTGTTGTTGCTGGTGTGGTTGCTGCTGTTCAAAGTTTTGTACTTGGGTGGTGGTGGTAGTCGGCCGGTTTTCTGCTGCTGCTGTTGCTGATCTCGATGTCTCCGTAGTCTTCTCATGTTTGTCTGCGCAGCATGCAAGATTTGATGTGTGGTGAATGAATGAAAGAACGAATGAATGAATTAAAGAACGAATAAACAAACAAGTGAATGAATAAATGAATGGATGGATCAGGAAACCTGCATAGCATTAATTTCCCTCTCAACTCTGGTTTGATGGGCACTGACGAGATAGGAATGGACGCAGAGCAGGATGCAGATTACGATCATGAAGAAGCCCACCCCAGTCACAACGGCGCCCCAACATTTGAAAACCCTGAAAAATATTTTTTCTTACTCTCTAGTGGGTTTATTTCCGATTTTATTTTATCTATGTTCGCCTTCTTTTTATTTATGTCGGGAATACTTCTTTCAATGTTTGCATGTTTTTAAAATGCTGCTGCTAATAGATTACTAAATAATTTTAGTCATTTTCTAATTGGTCGGTTGATTGATTCACTCATTCACTCACTTACTCATTCTTTCATTCATTCATCTACCCATTCACCCATCAATGCATCCAATTAATAAGTACTTAATCATCTTAAAATTTTTTTCATTCAATCACTTACCTTAAGATCTTTGTATGTATGTATGTATGTGTGTATATATATATATATATGTGTGTGTGTGTGTGTGTGCGTGTGTGCGTATGCTTGTATGTATTTTATGTATTTTTATTATAGACCTTATTCTTTTGCATACGTAAGGTAGCATGCAAGCCATGTTATTTTACATACGCCTATTAAAGGACGAATAAAGATAATAAATAAAGCATAAAATAATAATAAGAATAATATTATTAATAATAAGAAGAATAAACGACAATAATAATAAGAATAAGGATAACAAACACAGGTATAAAAACGAAAAACCTGTTTCAAAATACATATAGAAAGAAATAAACTGAAGCCAGCGTACACACACACATACACGTACACACACACACACGCGCGCACAGATCGACACACACACACATACCGACAAACTTTAAGACATAGCAAGTAACACTAACGTTCCTTTGTGTTTGCTCGTAACTAAGAGTATCATGCCCATGAAGATGACGATGATTCCAGCCCAGAATATTGAGCACAGAATGTTATTCTTCACTACCCATGTTGATTGCACTATCCGAGTTCTTATTAATCTAATCATCTCCTAATTTGTGTGGGGTTTAACAATAGGAATATTCATTCATTCATTATTTCATTCATTCGTTCTTTCATTCATTAATTTCTTCATTCGTTTGCTTGTTTATTTTATATATTTTACCTAAGCGTATGTTTGTACATACATTTATAAAAGTTTATCCATTCATTCATTCATTCATTAATTCATTCATTCATTTCATTCGCCATCCAATTATTCAGAACAATCCAGATTTAAAAAAGGAAAAGATCCGCGTTGCTAATGAATGAATGAATGAATTATTGCATAATAATTCCGAATTAATAACAAAAAACTAACATTGAATGAATGAATGAATGAATGAATGAGTGAATGAATAGATGAATGAATGAATGAATAGATGAATGAATGAATGAATAAAAAAATATGTAAATGAATAGGTGAATGGTCGAAAGAATGAATGAATGATTCAGGTACATAGAAAAACAATCCTAAGCAAAGCATCGTACCAAAGTAGCCAACATAACAAATGGATAATAATATTACGATAATAATATTAATTCATAATAAAAAAATTATGACCATAATTAAAAAAATATGACCATAATTAACATAGATACTATTACTATCACCACTAACAATATATTCTGCCACTCAGACTGTAAAACAACATCAACAACATTAACGATAATGATCCCACCAATAACAACTACAATAATAATAATAATAATAATAATAATATTTAGACTACTACATCACAGCAAGTATAAAATAATTTATTAATAATTTAATAATAATTATTATTATTCTTATTATTACAACTATTACTAATACCACCACTAACAAACTACTATTAAATAACTCTCGGGGGAATAAACATGGCTAACAAAAAAATCTTCTTTTACTTTCTTCTGTAAAACATCCCATACATACATACATATATACATACATATATACATACATACATACATACATACATACATACATACATACATACATACATACATACATACATACGTACATACATACATGCATACATATATACATACATACATACATTCCATACATACAACATATATACATACATACATATATACATACATACATACATATATACATACATACATAAATACATACATACATTCAAAGGCATACAACGCGCGGAATATATAGAAGTTGATTGCAATGATAATCGTTGGAATTCCATTAACATTAATATGTGTATATATGGGAGTCTGGTGGAATGTATGTATGTATGTATGTATGTATGTATTTATGTATGTATGTATGTATGTATGTATGTATGTATGTATGTATGTATGTATGTATGTATGTATGTATGTATGTATGTATGTATGTATGTATGTATGTATGTATGTATGTATGTATGTATGTATGTATGTATGTATGTATGTATGTATGTATGTATGTATGTATGTATGTATGTATGTATGTATGTATGTATGTATGTATGTATGTATGTATGTATGTATGTATGTATGTATGTATGTATGTATGTATGTATGTATGTATGTATGTATGTATGTATGTATGTATGTATGTATGTATGTATGTATGTATGTATGTATGTATGTATGTATGTATGTATGTATGTATGTATGTATGTATGTATGTATGTGTTTGTTTGAAAAATATATAATTTTCCCAGGTCTATATTTTTAACACTAAACAAAACCATCGACAAAAACAAATAAGCACACACATGCGCGCACATATACACACACACGCATACACATACATAGACACATACACACATACATAGGACTCTTAGAATGAATTTTTTCAAAAACATTTACTGATAACAAACTTAATAACATTATTATCATCGTCATATTTCCGTTCAAGAAGTGGATGAATGAATGACTGAATGAATGAATGAATGACTGAATGAATGAATAATGAATGAACGAACGACGGAGCAAAAACACACAAATTAACAAGCAATTAAGTAACTGAAGCAACAAACAAATTGAAAACAAAACTCAAATTTTTAGTTTACTTACTTAACAGTTAACAGAGAAAGAATGAGAGAAAGAAAGATTGAAAAAAAAGAAGATTGAATGAGAGAAAGAGAGAGAGAGAGAGAGAGAGAGAGAGAGAGAGAGAGAGAGAGGGAGGGAAAGCAAATTGTTTATATAATGCTTTTGATACGATGAAAGCAATGTGCTATATACATATATATATATATATATATATATATATATATATATATATATATATACAATAATAATAATGATGGTGATGATAACAAAATTACTAATGAAACGGTTTATAGGATCAGCGATATTGATAATGTTGTAATAAAGAGAATGATTTAAAAAAATATATATATATATGTATATATATATATATAAAAGAACGCAGCTAAAAACACAAACACATCATCATCATCATCATCATCACCATCATCATCATCAATATCATCTTCATCTTCGTCATATCTGCCGTACTAAACTGCTTTCACAATCATCCCGACAACGGTTAATTATCATCATTAACTGTTTTAGTTCAAATTTTTATAGGCGCGTATCATCGTGAATATCATTTGTATTATATCACTATTTGTATTATTGTTTGTAATGTTGTTACAATTAATGACCAAGAAATGAATGGAAGAATGCATTGAGAGAATGAATGATAGGAAGAACGATTGATTGACTGATAGAGTGAATGAATGAGTTAAAGAAAGAATAAAAAAGAACGGTTTTGCGCGTTTTATTCTTTTATTTTCGAAAAAAATTAAAAGCATTCCATTAAAATTAATAGAAAAAAGATCAATAAATAATATTGATGATGATGATTGATTGATGGTTGAATGAAGGAATGAATGAATGAACAAAAGATTGATGAACGGATGAACGAATGAAAGATGAATGAACGAACGAATGAACGAAAAAAATTATAATCGGCAATACATAAGACAGCGTTTCAAATACTTTCAAGAAATTTAAACAAGAAATTAACATGAAATATTTATAAACAATAACAATAATAACAACAACAATAACTATTTTTATTATTTTAATTAATTACGACAATTTAAACAATAATTATTTAATATTAATAATATATTTCAATAATATATAATGATTTAATCAATTTAAACAATAATTACTTCCAGCAAATGTATAAAAATATAACAACCAATATGGTCAGTCTCGAGATGTGATTCGCTGTAAAAAAAAAATTGTCTTCATAGACAATATTTCAACCAACCAACTCAACCAATCAACTCAATCAATCATCAATCACCCAACTCAATCAATCAGCCAACTCAATTAATCAACCAACTCAATTATTAATATAAAATCAAGCAAATTACAGCCTAATAATAGTGTATATATCTGCAATCAAGAAGCTAAAATCTTCCAAGTTAAAATAAAATCTACATGCACACATACAAAGAGCCATGCATAAAAAATAACTAGATATATAAATATATATATATATATATATATATATATATATATATATATATATATATATATATATATATATATATACATATGTTTTTATATCAAACTCCACTATTTGGAAATAAAAAGGAAATAGTTACAGCAAATTTTGCGATCAGTTATGTCGATGTAAATGAAAAATTCAGGAGAAAAATGTTTTTAGTTGATGATTGATGGTTAAAATATCAATGTTATATATATACACACACATATATATTCATATATGTATGCGTGCATGCATGTGTATGTCTGTGTGTATTGTGTTCTTTTATATAAATTTGAAAAAATAAAAGTCAGATATGTTCTTGATTGGGTGAATGAAGAAAGAAGAAACGAAGAAGAACGAATTAACGCAACAACGAATGATTGATTGATTGAACGAACTCTTTAAACATTTTGAAAGATTTTTTTGGAGCGGAATGGCTTTCCGATACAATAAATGGTTGACATACACTAATCAATGAATCAATCAGTGAATGAATCAATGAATGAATGAATCAGCCAATCAATGAATTAATCGATGAATCAATCAATCTATCTATCAATCAATTAATGAGATATTTAATCAATGATTCAACCAACTGATCGGTCAAAAAATTTCAAACGTTAAAAACCACAGAAAGGCTGAACGCAAAAATATTTCTCAAATTATCGCCTTATTGTTTTGAATTTCCTATTAAACTATCATCCATCCCGACAATCAATCAAACCAACAACAATAATAAATTCTTGCCATCACAAACTGCACAAAACAAAAACACTATTCAGGAATGTGTTCACAAATTGTGAATGCATGCACTAATCGGAGATGCATACTAATCATCTCCAACACTAATCAGGGATGGGCTAGATTCAGCTGGGGACGAGGATGCGAAGAGACACATCTGGAAAGCACACCAGAGAGATGTTCTCACTCGACGAGTTTGTCCCAACAACTCTTCAATGGCTGAACTGAGAGCCATATTATCTGTGGGATGCAAAATTTAAACAGGTAACATTCACAAATGATTTAACATCTGTAGAATCAGTCCAGTAAGTTATGGTAAAAAGTAATATAAAGAACAAAACAAAAGTTACAGCAGAAAAACAACAAAGACACACCAAAAACAACACACCACCAAACTAACCGACAGCTAAACGAACCAACAAGCAAACAAACAAACCAGCAAACAACAAACAAACGATTGAACAAACCCTTTTCCTCCTGAAACCTGGAGCCCCCACTGTTGTTTCTATTTGCAGTGCTCACAATCTCCTCCTTCCTCCTGGCCTGCACCTTCCTTATTCCTTCCAGCCACGTGTCCATGGACGAGTAGATGCTGGCATGCAGTGGGTGACTCGACGTCTTCTTCATCTTCACCAGCATTGATGTCAGCTGTGTGCATCAGTGTGCTGTGCTTTAATAACTATATCAATCGTGATATATTCACCAACACACGCGCGCACACACACACGCACGCACACACACACACATATACAAACTTTTGTATGTAGTTTCAGGGAATCACTGACGAGCTGGTTGATCCTCATGTTACTGTGAGAGGAATATTTGTGTTGATTCATCTGTAAAACTTGTTGCTGATGTTGTTGTAGTTGGTGTTGTTGCTGCTGCAGCTGATGTTGTAGCTGCTGTAACTGCTGCTGATGTTGTTGCTGATGTTGCAAGTCCATTTTTATCAGTTCTTTCTGAGTCTGAATTGTAAGGCAGTGAGGGATGAAATGTGTTAAAGATTGAAATGTCATAACCTAAATTACTGTCAGCATTCATTCATGGATCTCAATTGTGAGCCTATTCAGTTCATTCATTCATTCATTCATTCATTCATTCACAAACACACAAATGACACATACCTCAATCTCTTCATACTGCAAATTCATAAGCTGCTCAAAACAGAGCTCCAGGAAAAATTCAACAGCCGTAGTTGTCGTTAATGATGACGTCATTGTGGCCGTTGACGACGTCATCAGAGTCGTCGTCATCAACATCAGAGGCCTTCTGCTGTTTCGGTGTCAATCATTCAATCAATTAATCAATATATATATATATATATATATATATATATATATTATATATATATATATATGAACGAAGATTGATATATATATATATATAATTAACCAGTCAGTCAGCCAGCCAATCATGTTATCAATCAAACTGCCGACCTGATAAAATTATTTCTAGCACATTCAACATTAGCCACACCATTACATCCATTAACATTGCTGCTGCAATTATTATTATTCATATTAATATTCATATTATTATTCATATTATTATTATTGATGACACAATTGAAGCCATTATAATTATTAGCCATGATATTGTTCCCATTTACCATATTATTATTATTATTATTATTATTATTATTATTATTATTATTATTATTATTGTTATTATTATTGATATTATTATTATTATTAACATTATTAATGTTATTATTATTCATGTTATGGGCCTTCAATAGCAATGGAGCAGCTACGTTGAATGGAACCAAACTATTTGGATGATGATGATGATGTTGGTGGTGATGATGATGATTAGGATTATTATCGAGTAATGCTATTGGTAAAAATTGATGGATGGAGTTATTAGTAACTGGCGATGATGACGATGATGATGGTTGTTGTGGGGGGTGATGATGATGATGATGAGAAGGAGGAAATGGATTGATGGAATGTTCTAGTGGAGTGAAAAGGTTCAAATTACTGTTGTTGTTGTTGTTGTTGTGCTGTTGTTGGTTTGCAGCCAAAACGTTGTTCTGGTTGCTTAGATTCATATTAATATTAATTTGATTGAGGTTTAAATTCCCAGGTGAAGGTAAAAATGATGAGGATGATGATGTTAGTGGTGGGTAGGCCGATGACAATGATGAAGACGGCGACGATGACGATGACGATCCTGCCACATTAAGATGGTTTGAGTGAATGAGTGATGGAATGTTGCCCGCATTCAAATGCGATGCAGAGTTCAAGACATCTTGCTTGCTTTCACAATTATATAGATTAGACTTCTTGAGGAGCATGCGGCCTACAGACACATTGTTGTTGTTGCTGATGTAGTTGCTGTTGACTGCGTTGTTGTTGTGGTTGTTGTAGAAGATGTTGTTGTTGATGTCTTGCTGAAATTGTCTGACAACATTGTTGATATCAATGTTTTTTACATTGTTGTAATTGATGTTGTTGTTGTTGCAACTGGCAAGGCACCGATCAGCCATGTTGTTACTACCATCAGCCAATACATTTTTGTTGAAATTATGACCGCCGTTATTATTAAAAGTATTATTAAGACTGTTGCTGTTGTTGTTGTTGTCAGTGTAAAGAGTTGGAATACTTCTAGATGACCAGATCGGTTTGGAGGGCACTTGTTCGATGTTGTTGAATGGGAAGGTGCTGATCAGAGTGGGAGTGTAGGGACTGTTGGCAGGTGGGGGCCTATAAGATAGGTACCAGCTGTTCATGTCTTGAAACTTGGCTGCAATGTCTCCATGAAATTGTGGAGGTGGAGGCAGTCTTAAAAATGGTAAGTTGTTGTTGTTGTTATTGAGACAATTGTAGCCGTTATTGTTGGTAAAGTTGTTGTTGGTGTTTTGATTGCAGTTTAATACATTGTTGTTGCTGATAGGAATGTTGATGTTGTTGTTGCTGCTGCTGCTAAAGATATTGTTGTTGCTGAGAGCATTGAAGACAGCTGTAGAACAAGCTGCTACTGCAACAAGATTGCTGTTGTTGAAGTTGTTGTTGCAGTTGAAATTGTTGTTGTTGTTGAGGCAGTTGCTGATGTTGTTGGTGAAGCTGTTGAGTTGATTTGAATTTATAATGGCATTGCAGTTGCTGTTTACGATGTATTGGCTATCCATGCACATCATTTGTGACCTATCCTTGCTGTAGATTGAAACATCGGGGTACAACAAACTCCCAATCCTGTTTTCAGCATTTTCAGGGACATATGTTAAGTCAGAAACCTCTTTAACGGGGTAACCATTTTTCATTTTTTCAATTTTTAGGGCTGCAGCCGAATTTGATAATGAAGCTTTTTGATTCCATGTTAAATAGCCTAAATTGTTCACATCAACCCCGTCAGAAGTTTGAGGTGTCTGTGGTGTGAAAAGTGAACTTCTACCAATTGGATTCATAACTTTTAGTTCAGGCATCAAATCACTCTTGTTCATATGTGGTTGTTGGTGTTGCTGTGGAGATTTCATATCATGATATTCCCATATATTTCTCTCATTTTTTCTAAATAGATTACTAAGGAGGAAATAAAAGTTAAATAATAAAACAATTAACAGAAATAAAGTTGATTGAATATAACAAAATACATATGTATATATTTTTTGCATATATTGCACTAACTCTGTAGAACTTTCAGGAAGATTATTTGCTTTACTGCTTGATGTATTAACATCCTCATCCAGTATCTTATTTACAATATCTTCAAATGAATGGTAGCCAACATTTGATCCTATCACACTGTTTGGACTCAACTTTGGGTTGATCATTCCATTTCATTAAGAGTATTTAGTATCAAATAAAACATCCATTTCTTATTGTAAATTATCATTTTGAAGCAAGAAAAAATTTAATTTTAAATAAAAATTGAAATGGTACCTTATCTCCATTGAATAGATCTTTGTTATTCAGTACATTGTTTGATTGGTCCCAGAGAGAAAAACTTTTGGCGTCATTTTGGCAATAAGCAGACGATCTGTTGTCGAGTCCGTCCAGCCCAACACCATAATTGAACTTTGTTTCCAACTTCGGAGCAAACGATTGCGAATTTGAAATATCATTATTAGAAATATCATTATTAAAATTAAGTGGTAAATTGCTGCATGATTTGTGATGAGAAGTAATAAAAGAATCATTTTCATCGAAGTTCATTTTTCTCGAATTCAGTGACAGAAAAGTTTCGTCGTAACAAGCTCGAGACGACAAAATGGGATTCAAAAACGAATTTTCGACATTGTTGCTAAACAGATCAGACGAATTCATGGTTTCTGTCACTAATTCCTATTTCTGTCGTTACGATAAATCATAAAAATTATTAGATTTTGTTATTTTTGACCTCGAAAATGACTTTATGAAAATAAAAATTACCTTTTTTTGAATTTTCAAATACATAAACTAGCAACTAACGCCATAAAAATCAATAATTTGAAAAACGATAAAACCAAAGATGCCAAGTGTTTCTTTCTAATTATTAAACTCGAACATTACAAACAGACGTAAATTATTAAAGTACCGTAAAAATTGTGAAAACAGTTAGTGAAATTATGACGTAACAAAACAGTTGGGGATTAAAACGATAAAAAATTTAATCTATGACATAATTTGGATGCACAACGAGTATAGGATCGTCTTCCTCGACGATCTCCGTCCTGCCTTTGGAGAGTCCAGTGTACGACAATTTTATTAGGACGTGGTCCTGAAATTTGGCAAATATTACGTCGAAAATAAGCGTAATCAAGGTTTGGATTTAAAGTTTTTGATTACAATCTAAGAAGAAACTATAGAAATTTTACAACTAACATGTAAGAAATTGACCGATACAATCATCGATTGTTGAATAATTAAAGAACTACCAACATGATTGATAAGTCTTTTGATGACTTTTTCAACTAAACTCTTCTTGGTCAGCAGTTCCTCTTCAGAATCAATCTCATCTTCAATTTCTTTCAGGTACCAATCAACGAGGGCACTCATTGTCACACCGCCACAACCCTCAGTGTCACCTTCTGTTGCATTATTATTCCAGATTTCCATTTAGTGAAATCATTAAAATAATCATAAAATAGTTATGTAACAATTACATAATTTCATTTTATTGAATGGTCAAAAAAATTAAATCAAACGCGTACCTGCCAAAAATTCCTCTTCTCGTCTTCTTAAATAGAGTACTAACAGATTAGCAAGATGTTTGTACTCTTCAAATGTTATTTTTTGCCCTGGAGTCTTGTTTGGAACCTTTTGACTGCCATTTTCAACGTTGTCAACTTCCATTTGTTCATCTAAGCGACAAATTATTGAATGAATCTATGAATGAATGAATGAATGAATGAATGAATGAATGAATGAATGAATGAATGAACAAACGATTGAAACTATAACTGAATGAATGAACAAACGAATAAATCTATGAATGAAAAAACAGAATAATAAGTGAATGAGTGAATTACTAAAAAAAATGTTTAACAAACTATTAAATGAAATATAACAGCCTACACAAAAAGTATTTGATCATGGCATGACACGTTCCCAATAAATGAGAAATTGAATACATTCGTATGAAAAATCTAGCGTCTATAACTCACCATCATCACGACGAGCCTCATCATCATCAGCAGCAACTGTAGCAGCAGCAGCAGCCTCATCAACATTCTCCTCTTCAGCAAGAGCGTCACCATCATCGTTGTCCAAAAGAACGTCTGGCTGTTCTACTCTTATTATCGATTTGCTCAGCAACCTGTTTGCTTCTTTAACGTGCTTCACTTGAACCTTTGCGTTGTTGATGATGATGATGTTGATGATGGTGGTAGCGATCACCACCACCACCACCATCATCATCATCACCATCACCATCATCATCATATTTACTTACCTCATCCTGACATTGCAAACGAGCCAAAGCTTCTGAAAGTCTAAAAGAGAGGAAAGAAAATTGTAACCGTCATCTTCAGTGTCATTATCACTATCATCTTCAGTGACATCATCACTATCGTCTTCACTGTCATCATCACACTCACCTAATCATGCTCTCTAATTGTCTGACAGTGATCCTCCATGAAGAACTGGACGATCCACTTTCATTCATTCGCATCTCTTTGTACTCACTGACAAGCAAATCCACGGCTGATCTGCTTATCTGGTTATGGAAAGTGAAAAAAATGAGAGAGAGAGAGAGAGAGAGAGAGAGAGAGAGAGAGAGAGAGAGAGAGAGAGAGAGAGAGAGAGAGTAGGAAATGAAAAGATAAAAAAGGAGAGGATAAATAAATAAACAAAGAGAGGACAAAAAAGGTTTGAAAATAAATTTGCTTTTGAACAACGTCTTTAAACAAAATCATCATCACCATTAAAACAATCAACTTTGCCACACAAAAACATCAGAGCAACCTCATTATCACTATGATCATAATCGCCACCAGAGCAATCATCACTACCTTGGGCTTGAACATCCTAGCGAAGGTGATGTACCTTTGAATGTCATCAACGCTGTACACTCTTTGCACGACTTCATTGCTGTTCATGTGCAGCGAGACTATGCGACGAGCTATCGAGTAGTCCGTCACCTGCATTTCAGTCAGTCAGTAAGAGAAGTCCATAATAAGAATAAGAATAATAATGGCGATGAAAGCCTTGTTAAAAGTAAAAAGTATTGCGCCACACAAAAGAGGCCCCACCTCATTGCACTCATCAACGAGTATGAAAAAGAGGTCAAATCTCGACATGATAGGCGCACTCATCATCACGTTCATCCGCAGAGATCGCGATTTGTCGTACTTCCCTCCGACCGGATTCGCAGCCGCCAGGATGGAGGTTCGTGCGTTCAGTGTGGCCTTGACCCCTGCCTTCGTGATGCTTATCGTCTGCTGTTCCATGGCCTCGTGAATGGCCACTTGATCCTTGATATCCATCTTGTCGAACTCGTCTATGCAACATACGCCCTAATTTTAGGGAATTTAAAGATGGGTGGGGTTCGTTCATATTAATTACGACTATAAATGTTATAATCATTAAATTAGGGAATGTTCACCAACGTTATCAGAGAGCATGAGAGCGCCTGCCTCAATGACGAATTCATGCGATTCTTCGTCTTTGACGACAGCTGCTGTCAGGCCAGCCGCCGTGCTTGCCTTGCCACTGGTGTACACCGCTCGAGGACTGAACTCCTCCACTTGTCTGAGTCGTCGTGGATGAACAGAGAGATGAATGGAGAGATGGCGTATGAATGAATGAAGCGATGGATAGAACAAGAGCAGACTGAATGAAATATGAGAAAACATCAACAGCGCATAATACCAAACGAATTGATCGACAGTAAGACAGAAAAAGAACCATCACAAAACAATTTGGTTTTTTTTTGCTTATTCTTTTTTTAAAAAAAAACAAACTTTTGAAAGAAAAATGCAAATTATTAAAATCAAAAGAGAAGATATACAATTAAAAAGAATTGAAATATGAAATAAACGAAGGAAAATATAAATGGTAAAACAGGAAATGCACAGTGAAGTTGGAGGGAGATTGGGTCTTATTACTTGAGCAGTTGGCTCTTAGCAGTGCTCGGATCACCAACAATGCAAACATTGATATCACCTCTCAACCTGGTGCCTTCCAGGGTTGTCTTCGGCACCCCACCAAACAACATCAACAAAATACCTTTCTTAACTTCATCGTTACCTGTGATTGAAAGATAGATGGATTGAGTTTTCTTAATAAATAGATGAATGAATCAACGATAGGTGGACGAACAAACGAATGGATGGATAATCACCATCATAATCACCACCACACAGTGCCATCATTCTCACCCTCCCGCAAAACACCACCCTCACCATGAATAGTAGGAAATAGACTGTTGCAGAGATTAGTGTATATGTGCTTATCTTGAGACATCTCATAAATCTTTTGCCACTCAGCCTCTGTCATCTGCCTCCTCAACATTTCAGGATTCATGTCTTCAGATTTCGTTGTATCTAGGCCACCATACTGTTGTTACGACGGTTAAGTTTGTCACGTGTGTGAATTGTATGTAGTGGTTGTGTATACGTGTGCTGGTAGTGTGTGTGTTGTATGAAAAGGTGTTTAAGCCAATCCCACCATCATCAGAGTAAGGTTTTAAAATTCAACAATTGCATGAATATTAACATTATTTTTGACATTTTAAAATGAAAAAAACATTTGAACCAAAAACCTTTTTAAAAGAGGGAGCCACATGACAAGCAAGGAAGGCCATCTTGTAGTTAAGATCCTTCACTCCCAACATCTTCAATCCTCTCACTCCCTCTCCCATTTGCTGCTGATTCTGAATCCTGCTGCCTGTTTCCGATTTCACTCCTTTCAAGGTAGAGTTAGAAATTGTTGAGGATTCAATCTCATTTTTGTTGAACCTTATGTCCAAATTTTATGACAATCTTATTGTCTAATTTAATTTATTCATAGTTGAGAGAGCATACAAACACACACACAGAGACACACACACAAACCAGGAAAGGCCATAGCACTGATATCAGGAGCCACAATCAACGTGCCAGTGAAATCACATCTGTCACCAGCCTGGGCTGTTTCAACTGATTCACCTCTTAAGATCACTTCGATACTGTATTAGTATGTATTTGCATGTATGTATGTGTGTGTGTATGTGCATGTATGTATGTGTGTCAGTGTGTGTGTGTGCAAATACCTTCTGGGAATGCTGCCTCTTGGCAATTCAGCCTGAGTCTCTTGGATCCTAACCTTTTGAAAGTCAACAAATTTTGATTTGCTGACATCTAGGAGGAATTTTGTCCTGTTGTTGCATGCAGGGTTCCTACATATCGTCGGCTGGTTGGAAAGTTAAATGTCTCAATACACTTTCTTATACTCATTCATTTTTAACGTACCCAATCACTCATTCTTCTATTCATTCATCAATCAATAATTTACGCATTCATTTATTTTATTCATTCATTTATCATACAAAGCTATGAAATTTTACACACAAAAATATTTACCATAATAAATATTGAACAATTTACAATAGGCCAGCCGGCCATAAAAAACCACTGATATAACCTGTGTGTATTTAAACTGTTGTTGCACATCCCTGATTACAGTTTGACATTCAAGACAGACAAACGTGGCCGACACTAATTCCGGATGGACGGGATGGGTCCTGACAACTTGTCCGGTTATTTTTATTAGGGTGCCTATTCGACTCGTTCTCAATTGCCGAACTCTGCACAGAATTTTTAGGTGTTATCAGCTTATCATTATTAATTATTTTAACATTTATTTACTATTTTTTTTGATTATTAAAAATCATTTTTCATACTTCAGTCTACTGGGCACGTCAGTGAAGCTGATGTAGAACTCTTTATTCATGTCAACCTGGCCCCGGTCGTGAGCAAATATCTTAACAGCCCGACACAGATATGGGTAGACCCTTTGGAAACAAAAGTGATATTATGATTAATTAATGCTGAGAGATTCTGCAGATAATATTTACAATTACATTAAAGGGCCAAACGTCTTAGGACAGTGTCTTGAATCTTAAGTTCATGTGAAGACTGAAGAGTTATATAATATATATTTATATATATAATATTGATAGATAGATATGTCATATATGTATATAATATATATATATATATGTGTGTGTGAAAACATGTCTAAATGAAAAATGGCGCCACCTGTAATATTCAGCTAAAATGGCATTGGCCAGTGGTTGGTTGCATCTCTCCACATCCTCGAAGCTGACAGTCAGCGTGTTTCGCTCAGGTCTGATTAGCTCGCACGCCTCACTCACGTATTTCAATTCGCCATTTTCGCTACATCTTTAATAAATTTACATTCAATAAGCATTTAATTAATTTTATTAATAATTATATTTCAATTAAAATTCTAAACTCACTCATCCAAGAAATCCTGAAATAATTTTTGGCAGCGCTCCCCAAGATCGTCCTTCTTCTGGCCGACGGTTTTCTGCCCACCTAAATTGACGTCCATGTTTGCAAAACCTAACCCCTAATCCAGATGAGAAAAACACTTCTTTTAACTTGTAACAAAAAATAAACATGTAAAGTTTTGGCGCTCAAATGTGTTGCCTGTTACACTAAGGCCATAAGTTTGGCTTTTTATAAATATTTTCATAAATCAGACTAATTAGCTGACTTTCCGTTGGCCGACCTGCAAATCGAGAAAAAGTATGAATACACCGTAATAAGGGGACGCAAACCCATCATAATGAGTGAAATTAGCAATACTAAAATATTGTTTAAGTTTATTTAAAGATAATGCAAGACTATAACATCAAAAAAACTGGTTGACTAACCTCAAAAGTGAACACGTGAAAAAATTGTTCTTAACAGTCAAAAACAATGCCATAATACGATTAATAAATTACTAATATATTTTTGAGCATACGGAACATCGTGACGAACAACTCGTAAAAAAACACAAAATTTCTTGCATTAGAATTTAACAATAAAAAGCGATTTATTCTTGGTTTTTACCACTTGATTAACTTGTTAGTCGACGCGGTCATCAATTTGGACGGATGACTTTCATCTTCGTAAATTAATTTGAACAAACTCGTGAAAAAACTTGAAGACGTGTAAAAACTAGTAAAACGGGAAAACTTTGAATTAGTACAGTAGTCGAAAGTCTCCTTCATTCTTTCTTTTTTGTGAAACAACCTGATAAACAGCTTGTAAAACGCGAAATACTCATAAAACAACTCGAAAACGAGTCAAACAACTCGTAAAACGCCAAAAACTCTACATTCGTACGGTAGTCGAAAGTCCCCTTTTTTCCCTTTTTCGTGGGACAACGTATAAAAGAATTTATGAAAAAACTCCTTAAATGCAAAAACTCTTACAACGCATAAAACTAACGGCGTATTGGTACGGTTGTACAAAATTCCCTCCATTCTTCTTTCTTCCTAAAACAATTCGAAAAACAAATCCTAAAACTCAAAAAACAACTTGTAAAACGCAAAATACTCGTAAAACAACTTGAAAAACAACTCATAGAACAACTTGAAAAACAACTCATAAAACTCTGTATTGGTATGGTAATCGAAGTCCCCTTCATTCTTTCTCCTTAGTGAGACAACCTAATAAAAAAAGCTTAAAAAAAACTTAAAACTAACCCATCCATAGCCATGGCATCTAAAGTAGTTTCACCATTTTTGTACAGATTTCCTCCATGATTGCATTTGTTTGCTGTAACTGCAACCTTCCACTACTGCCTCTATAGAGTTGTCAGTTGATTTCATGATTCTCCAGGCTGTTTAAATTAAATATTAATTGTAATCTAATTTAGTTATTGTGGTTATTTTACAGAACCGTTTCTTTAATATTAATTAAAAGTTTTTAAACTGTTAAAAAAATTAAATTCTAACTAAGTAACCGCTACTCAAAAATAAAATTAAAGTTTAAAACGTTCAGGTTTGTGGTTTAAAAAATTGACAAAATTTAATTCATATGTTATTTATTGTATATAATTGTGAACAATTTATTTTATAGTTTTATTTAATATTTTCAATGGCATTTGTTCAGATGTGGCACAAGTGAAATTAGAAAATAAATAAATATATAAAATAAATAAATAAAATAATCAATAAAATAAAATTAATATCCTATAATAATAATCTATTAGATAAAAAATTAGAAAATTTGACTTGCACTTGTTGAGATTGTTCATTTCATTTTAATTTTATTTAATTCACTCATTCGATGTGGTAGTAACAATTATCTATGCTTCGTCCAGAACATTTCTTTAATTCATTAAAATTTTAATTCAAGAAATTTATTTTTTAAATCAATTAATAAACAAATTTAAAAATTACCACGGAAAAGTTTTAAAAATGTTTTTCGATTAAATAATTTATAAATGGCGCTTAAATTTTTAATTTTTTGACTAAGTATTAAGGTGCTTAACTTGATCAATTAATTAAATTCTATCAGCTGATCGGAACCTAAAACGTTTTCGCATTTCTTTTATTATTATCAATTCAAATTTCTACAAGCAAAATTATTTACACCGTGTATTTTATAAAAAATCAATAAAAGCTTAATAAGATCGATGGATCGAATAAGTAAAAAAAATTACTAGAGTTCTAGCCAACCTTACCATCGTACTTTGCTTTCTGGTTAAAAGTTGTCACGCTCTAACTAAAAGTTCTTTAATTTACTGACTGACTGAATTTAAAATCAAAAAGCGGGCGATAAAATATTTCTAATTTTTTGTTGACACTTTTTGATAAATATTGTAGAATTGTTTGAATATTATTTAGTTTCAAACAAAGTTATTAAATATAAACGGAATAAAAATGTA